TATAGTCCCATCTTCGATCGTCAAATATACCGAGCATGAACATATGCTGTTTATCATATCATATGCATTGTCAACTGATCTATGTTGTATCAGGAAATGATCCAGCAAGATCTGGTCTGTTGGTGTGCATACCAAACTCAGGGTCTATATCAGGTGTACCTTCAAACTTTGATTAGTTCATTACCTTGCCGAAACAGCTAGAAATACTATCATTAGTGGTGGACAAAAAAATTTCCAGCTTCAAGCTGATCTCTGTATCGTTAAATTGCAGTGAGATTGGATGCCCATTCAAGGAAACCCTCTGCTTGCAAACTGGATCCAACCAGTGGAAAGCAGGAGCCTGTTTCAGAACAAACATAAAGAGTTCACCTACAGATGGAAAGTTGGACTGAAAGTCGCGAGGGTAATAATCCCTTTCAACTTTTAGAATCTAGATGGCATTTAGTTGCAATTATTTACAGGTGCAAGGTTGGAAAACATTCATAGAAATAAAGTAGACCTCAATCCACAAAGAATACTTGTACAGGAATAGTTATTAAGGTGTTGAACATTTTGCTCAGAAATTCAACATTTTTATTCCACAACTACCATTTCATAATTGTTAGATGAAGATTGCATTGCCAAACAAGACTAGTTTGTCTTCTCTACTCATTTACGGCTGATTAACAGAACGATAACTAACTATTAGCCTATGGCCAAGGTTATGACAGACTACAATTGGCAAGGATGGCACTCCAGCTTTCTTAATATCATACTCAAAACTTTATTTCAATTAAAACTTAACAAAACACTAGCTTTCATTAAGCACAAAAGACTAGTACACTCCTTCACCTATATATATATATATATATATATGATAAAAAAAAATTCACTACTTGAGAAAATAGTATGTCAATTGCCAAAAGAGCTATTTTTTTCCTGCACTGCGCCAATAAGTTGAGACATCAAAGATGACATGTCCCAAGCATGTAATCGAAATAATGTAATCGGTAATTGCAACCACACCAACTAAATTTTCCAAGATAGAGAACATCCTCTCTTGACCTTATTTCACAGTCGTTTTATCCTTTGGTTGAGGTTTCAAATGTGGTACTTCGAAACCACTTGTTACTTTTGAACTCGAGTACTCCATATTTTCTAGATTGTTAGTACTCTCGGGAGACTTGTCAAAAAACAAATCGTCCTCAACTGGACACGAATTGTTACTACGGGATGCATATGCATGAATAGCCTTCTTCACACGGATAGAATTTCAAGAATGCAGGTCGAGCTCATCATATAACTTACATGTTATTTTTTTATCATTACCGCTTACAACATTGTGCAACTTTTTTTTTTTGTACCAGCTAAATACTTCTTCTTACAAGCTTCAGCCGTTTTGGTGAAATTGCGACAACTGACCACCATTTTTTTTTTAGCTTGATCCAAGTATTCACTCCTGAAAATCAAAACAGAAAAGTAAATTAAACATCAGAACAATAAAGTAAACATTGTGGAGTAAAAAGAAAGGACTACAAGAAAATAAGGTTTACAAACAATTATCATTGATTTGAGTCTAAATAGCAGTAGTATATTGCTTTTCAGACTTCAAATATTATGGATATCATCTCGAAGTGAAAGGAAAGTAGCCTGGAAACTGAAGAGTGTAAGATAAAGATCTGCGTTTATGTAACTCAAACCTGACAGCTGGAACCTATCTAGTCATTTACAAGAATTCAAGTAACCTTCGAAAATTATAAACCGATCAACATTTAATCTACCATTGCATGAGTAAAACTTCTCACTCGATGAGCAAGAGGAGAGAGCTGTTCCATCGTATCACCCAACTTCTTGGACAGTAGTAGAAAGCAAAGGCAGTACGCGTTCCAAAAATAAAACTAAGATCATGGAGCAGAGGACTTATCATTGATTTGAGTCTGAATACCAGTAGTATATTGCTTTTCAAACTTCAAATATTATGGATATCATCTCGAAGTGAAAGGAAAGGAGCCTGGAAACTGAAGAGTGTAAGATAAAGATATGCGTTTATGTAATTCAAACCAGACAGCTGGAACGGATCTAGTCATTTAAAAGAATTCAAGTAACCATCGAAAATTATAAACCGATCAACATTTAATCTACCATTGCATGAGTAAAACTTCTCACTTGGTAAGCAAGAGGAGAGAGCCGTTCCACCGTAGCATCCAGCTTCTTGGACAGTAGTAGAAAGCAAAGGCAGTACGGATTCCAAAAGTAAAACTAAGATCCTGGAGCAGAGTACTTATCATTGATTTGAGTCTGAATACCAGTAGTATATTGCTTTTCAGACTTCAAATATTATGGATATCATCTCGAAGTGAAAGGAAAGTAGCCTGGAAACTGAAGAGTGTAAGATAAAGATATGCGTTTATGTAATTCAAACCTGACAGCTGGAACGGATCTAGTCATTTACAAGAATTCAAGTAACCTTCGAAAATTATAAACCGATCAACATTTAATCTACCATTGCATGAGTAAAACTTCTCACTTGGTAACCAAGAGCAGGGAGCCGTTCCACCGTAGCATCCAGCTTCTTGGACGGTAGTAGAAAGCAAAAGCATTACGGGTTCCAAAAGTTAGGACTGATATACAACGATTCCGTAGCCTTGATCAGTAATGCTGGCCTGAGAGAGTACTTCGATCCAAAGACCGATGACGGGCTGATGGTGAGCTCTTCTTGTGGACGACAGCCATGTGTTTAGCGTGGTTGTACAGGCCGAGTGCAATTGCCATTAGACATAAAATGAGTGGGCCGAAAATACACCTAGACCAGGATATTAGCCCACCAAACTAAGGCAAGCTTTTACACATACTTGTTAAACTCACTAGTGCAATAGTATAGAAGTGAACGATGTGTTTCTAGTGCATCACAAAGATATGATGGCTAATTCGATGCTCTTGCTCACAAACAGCTCAGTAGTACTCACAGCTAGCTGGTTTCAGACCCACACCTCGAAGCCAACATCCTAGACTCTTTAAGTGTGGAGCCAGTAAAGAAAATCATGATACTTTCATAAAAAGTTAAAGAGACATTTCTCAAAATGAGGCAACTTGAACTGCTTGACCTTGGCATGATCTTCACACGAAGAATCAGTTGCAAAATGTGTCCACTAATTTTCAACAAAACAGACTTCTGTGCGGACTGCTGATTTGGATCGCTGCATTCGAGTAGACGAAAGCTAAGACAGAGCACAAGAATCAAGTATGACTGTGGTGACCTCCCATGTACCACTTGAGGACTGAGGAAGTATATGCGGATCTCTTTCACCAGTCCTAGTCAAAATTTTAAAATGATGACCACTTATCAAGGTGTTAATTTCCTGTACAAGTTGAGCAGTGTTGAGCAAGTAACGACTTTAGGGATTCTTAATTTTTTAATTCATATAAACGCCTTAACTTCATCAGGCTGGGTTAATCATCATCCTTGACAATCATAAGGTGGGCAACCTTAGGTCGCTAATTTATCCAAAATTCAATTCAAATGTCTGTGAGTGCAAACGAATGACAAGGATAAGAGTTTGAAATTACCTTGCCCCAAACTTTGAAATTCAGATCCGAATACGTATAGTACAACTTTCCTCTGATGTTTACCCACAAAGATTGAAGGTTCGTTTTGTCGGAGCATGGTAATTTGAAATTAGTGTTTATTTTGCTCGTGATTACAGTACTGTATGATTTCAATTTGATGCTATTGCGGTGTCAATAAAAACAGAACCTTAAATTACCTTGACTGCCGGAGGCTGCTTGAAATTCCGGTTCCATCTCCTGTTTCGGTGAAATCAAACTTTTTGTCTGTTCGTCAGTCCATGGAACCTTATTGTATAAATCATCATCATCATCCAAAGACACCACTTGCATCGCCTTCTTCTTATTGTCTCTGATCGTTTGGAGAGTATTTCACTTCTTTCCTCTTTGTGCACCTTCTGCACTTTTGTATCGCCTTTCCAAAGTAAGTACTTGATACTCCAGTTTGTCTTTCTCCAAAACTCTTCCACGGTTCTGAACTCTCATCTCACGTTTCATTGATTTGTGTACATTCTCAAGGTGTGGCTCCTGAAATGAAGCTTTTGCGGGTAAAAGAAGATTTGTCGTAGCTCTCGTTTCCAAGGCAGTAATATATCTAACCGCTGGCGGTGGTTGACTCCACCAAAAATTAAACGATGCGATCTCACTCCTTGCCCCTGTACAAGGTTGCTGTGAAGACTGCCCATACTATAAGTTTCAAAATTGAATTTCAGAGTCTAACTCTTTGGCCTGAGAATCAAATAATCTGTCAATTGCAGCTAAACTGTTAGATCTATCCATCTGACCATTTTGAAGCATTGATCTTCAAGACAAAAAATTATCCATGATGTATTCTTCAAAAGAATGATCTGATTGCTGAATGCTCGAAGACTCCTTTCGGCAACCGTTCACCTTCTGCCCATGGAAGAACTTCTCCATTTTTTTCCACCTGCATCAATTCTCTCATAAAAAAATTCTCTCCTTCTAACTACGCCAAGAGTATTCTCGCCCATTTGCTCGATCAAGATAACGTATTATATTACAAGCCTACACGTCACAGAAAAAAACAACCAGAATTTCTTAAAAGTCAGATGGTACTCCGTCCCAAATCGCTCTGATACCCCGAGAGGTGCTCTTTGAATATGGTCACTGGATTGCATTTAATACACTCCACGTATAATCCAAAGAGAGAGAGTACCCATTTTTAAGATTTGACGGCTCTATTTCATGCATACGCGCGATTTCCATGACCTCCGGTTTTGTAAAGACCCCCTAACCGATCATATGAGGAAAGTACTCTCTTTCTCTCTCATTCTCCCTCTCCTTTTCGGTGCCAACGTGTCAGAAGAGTGCACTCTTCTCATTGGAACATTGGCGCAAGACCCATGGGCTTGCAGGGAGCCATGCGGCGTCCCGCGGGAAAAGTGGTGCATGCATGGCAGCCACATTTACGGGACGACGGGAGCGAGAGGATAGACACGATGACGAGGTCGAGCGGAGAGTGGAGCACACTTGTAAGCTCCGGGACGCGACAAAGTGGCGCGGGAGCCCGTGCGAGTTCAGAGCTGGACGAAAGTCGCAAAACGTTATCGACGACGCGACGCTAAACATAGTTCTTGTCGTCATTATGATGCCTGAAACTCTTCGAGCAGAGCGCGTCCCGCCGACTTGGAATCACGACATGCGACTGGCCGAGGATGTGCGATTTTGAACTGGAGACGCGGACACAATCCTCGTGCAAGTGGCCGAGTTCTCCAACGTTTAGGCTCGGAACGGCAGACGCCTTCAGCTCAGGCGCAAGCAGGAGGAGGAGGAGGAAGAGTATCAGGAATCGATCGATTGCACAGTGAGCGAGCGAATCCGAATGCTGTCCAGTGTCGTGAGTCTTGAAGAGCACCCGGTTGCGGATGTGTTCTGTTCGTTTTTGTATGGTAGCCTTTGAATATTCGCTCGGTGACTTTGAATTGGAACGAAGGGTCTGGTGGCCAAGACGTTTTGAGTATTCGCAAAGGTGATAGGAGCACGACAACGGAACCGTTTCAGCTGGTGATGTAGAGAGCCCTAGTCTTAACGAAAGCTGCTTCTTCGACGAAGATCTCATGTTTAATCTGTACATATTCAGTTGTACTCGTTGTAGTTGTACTCGTTGCTTTTAAATTCCAGGTGGAGGTTTAAGTTCTGTAACAGCGAAGTGGTTCTTTCTGTACAACACTTCACGCTGTCAAGGGCAAACAGATGTAAGGAACAGAGAGACGAACATCACAGTGTTTTTGTTCAAATTCAAGATATGGCTTTCTTTGCACGGCCTACGGATAATCCAGATCGCATGTTGGATGAGCCGAGCTTGGTGATCTACTTATGAATAGACAATGTTTTGACTGATTATATGATCAACAGGTCGTTGACTATGAGGTATCAACTCTACAATTCGGTGAAAACACTTACTACTGGACTCCTGGACTCTCCTACTACCAGGCATATTCCAAAATTCACGTGAGTTGGCTTGAAACATTGACGAATGCACCGATCCTCTATCATTCTTGTAGGATGGCATGCTCACCAATTTTCTTTCAGCTGCATATTTTTGTTTCTCGTTTGTATCATCTATGCCTCAATACAGGAGATTGTACTGCCCTGGTAGAAATGTTAAATGCATGGTAAGTCATAAAGAGGTACATATCATCTACAGATGAACGCTGCACTACGTGGATGGTTTTATCGTCTAGCATCTGTAATCTAATGTATGAGATTGGACCATAATCTCTATACAGTACAATTTATACTCCTTGCGCATGATGTAAAACGATTGTGTTCAAGAGGGAGCTTCCAGCAGGTCCTTACTTTTAGACCCCAACTAATGAGCTTGTTTCGCTATGTCATCGAGGGCAGCGTGACAATAAGGAGACAGAAGGTAGAGAATGCAAGTTCATTCTGTCCACGTGCCAGTCCTGAGGTACCAACATGTCCATATCTTCCCTGTCTATTGAAGCAGCTGTGCACACTTGGTCGCCGTCCACAGTGTCCAGATGTGGTTTTCATCAACGCATGGGCAGTGCCGACGCTCTAGCAAAATTCTTGAAAAACTTACGGGCTTCTTTGGCAAGTTTCAATTTTATGTACTCTTTATTCCTGGGAGCTAAGCTTTGTGGTCTGATAATTTGGAAACTATTCATAGCTTGATCGCTGACCTTTTCGTGAATGATGCAAACAGCTCTACAAGAGCTTTCAGGGCAGATATATATTATGGAATCAAGTCCATGTTCAGTCAGGATCATGGACAAGAACTCTTCCCTCGGGCATTAGGGCTAGTAGCAATTCCAATGATATGAATCAACAAAATGTACGCAAAGGTGGCAGTTTACTGGGCGGTGTGCTGAAGCTTTTGTTCAAGGTGGCAGCTGGACTTGCTTTGGCTGCTATTATAACTGTTGCGTCTCTGCCTTCTCTTCTTTCTTGGCCAACAGCAAGAAGAGTTGCTTTAGATCTGGCAAACAATACTATACCAGGTACATAACAAACCTTTTGAAACAATCACTTCATGTTGGCGCATCTAAGAATTAAGCAGCGGGAAATATCGAAGAAATGGTACTCAAGGCTTGTCACATTATGCAGGCACAGTTTCTGTCAAATCAGCCTCACTTGGATGGACAAAGCCATGTCGCGTCGAAGGGATATCACTTCGAGGGTCAGAAGGTGAAGAAGTTCTGGCCATACCGAAAATAGAGAGTGGAGCTCCTCTCTGGTCTATCGCCCTTGGAAAATCTGGTCTAGGTAAGTGTTTTATGAGCCATCGACCTCACTTTCCGCTGTATGTGATAAACCTATGGAATACTTTAGATACTTTTCTTTGCGCCGCTTCTTCAATTTCCTCTCTGTTTTTTATGTTAAGATTGGGACGAGCAAATTGAGTATTGTGGCAAAACTGCTTTGCTCGAATTTAAAATTGCTATGAAGAAAGATATTTTTTCTAGTACGAACTTGTTGTGCATATAGATACTGAAGAATCGTGTCGTCAGAACTTTCAAGTTGTGGTGTCTGTATTGGAACAGATAAATAATTGGGTCTGATACAGGGGACGTAATTGTCACTTCTCCTGTCGTTGATCTTCAATCAAATGCCTCGAATGGTCTTCCACGGTTGGCACTAGCATTGACTCCCACTGAAAAGCTTCTGGAGAATAGCCCTGGTGCAAAGAGGCCGCCGAGGCAAGTGAAGATTCCTTCTGCAGATGCCGGTCTAACTGTTACGGTCAAAGCTGACAAAGGAGGTCTAGAAGTCACAGACGGAAAGCTCATTCTTCCTGGTGATCTGGCGGCTGCTTTGGGGAAAAGATTATTTGTGAATGTTGACTTGGGTTCATCGGCCACCAAAGAAAGTGACGAGTTGAAACTTGCATCGAATCAAAGCAATGGAGTGCCTTTGCGAGCCACATTATGGTCAGACTGTGCTCAAATGGATGCTGTTGGCTTCCTCCAGCCAAAAGCAAGCAAACTGAAACTCATTAAACCACTCAAAGCCGAAGTAAGTTTTACACTTCAGAAGTTTTTTAGTATAGGCATGTATATTTAGCATGCTCAGTATTTAATAAAGGTTAGCGGGATGGATTTGTATTTTAGAAGTCAGATAGGGGGTTATGAAGATTGAGCTTTAGGCGTCTGGCCGAGCGTTATTCCCCACAGGCCAAGTTGGGACCCGGATCTTGGTGATGTATTTATCATATCATTGCCTTGGCAGATGGATCTTACTCCAGCATTTGCCAAGTTCTACTTGGCCCAGTTAAACCCTCTACTTGGTGAGATTCTCGGTCCTGCAGTACAGGACGACGATATGCCTGATATCATTGTGCAAGTTACACCGACTAACATGGAGCTGCCTTCTGACCACTATAAGATCAGCATTGCTCCAATTAAAGTGGTACGTGATGATTAGTTGGCAGCTATAATGTTGTTATCTTGCCTGTGTATTTTACAATCATTGACAAGGATGGCACGCAAAAGTGAGTAATGTTTCATAAATGTATGATGATTATGATGACGTAGCTCGGCCAGACTCAAAAGTGTTATGTGCATCTGCTGTACAATTACGACGATTCCTTTTACACCCTCAGTTTCCACCATAGTTCCGTACACCATTGTGTCAACGTACGGTTCTGCAGGAAGATCTGTATGGCCTAAACTATCAATAATATTTAACGTGGAACTGCTTCTGCAGACCTTGGCCCGAGGTCAGGTGATAGACGGAGTTTTGTCTTTACTTTCGAAGCAAGAATTAGCGAAGGGCAAAAGAAATCTTACTATGCAGACATCAGTTATCGACGCTAAGCTGGATATGCCAGGGAGCTTCGACTGCTCGCGTCTGGATGTTCTCATTGCAGGTGCATAGCGTCCATCCTTAAGTATTATGAATTGCGATTGTGCTCCTTCTCGTTCATTATCTTGACTTTTAGATGTGAAGTATATCAATTTGGGTAGCATCTCATATGCATTCTGCAGCTGGGTTTACTTCGTCATCCACTCCATATTCATGAAGTTCCTGCTTGTGTGGAGCAGATAAAGTACACGTCGCAACATGGGGACAAGTGAACTCCATTGATGAAACCGTTCGTATGACGCTGGCAATACCTGGTCCTTCTTTAAGAGATGTAATGGGTTTGACAAAAGTCCCCTCGAACTACTACTTAAAGGTAGGATGGCAGAAATTGAAAGAAATGACTGACAAAGAGTAAGGTACCTGTTGAGTATGGGTTACTTATTCTTTGTCAGTGTTTATGCAGCAGTTCTTCGCACGGATGAACAAAGTTCACAAGTGGAGAAAGATGCCACATTGTATATAAATGAGACATTTTTTGTGAACCATGTGCAGATTCCTGTATCCGGCACATTCGACAAGCCGAAGGTTGATTGGAAGACCGCTGGGGTGGGCCTTGCACAACTTACGGCACGACAGCGAGGTGGACAGCTGATGCAGACCTTCTTGAACTATGTTGACACCAATGAAAAATCAGATGTCCCTGAACCAGGCAGCAAACTACCATGGGAACAGAGTAGCGCCGAGCATGCACAGTAGGAATCTATGGCATTTTCCTACAGCGACTGAAGCCCCGGTAAACGGCGGCATCATCCACATCATTGCTTCGGATCCCATATTTCATGTCCTGATAATCAACTGTGAATTTGGGCTGGTATACCCAACTCAAAACATAGTCGCCTTGTATTGATTAATTGATTGTATATTCAATTTTAATGAAAGCTCCCGGTTAAAATCAATAGGTTGTGCGATTGTGTTTTTATACCTTTAAATATTTCCTTTTTGCTTGAAAATAACGTGTGAACCGATCAGCTTGGAACACTCGCACAAATAACTCAAGCGAATAAGAAAGCGCAAAGCTGTTGTTCGGCACTAGCACAGGAATACCATATATAACATCTTGGAAGAGACTCGAGGAAGAGGTGCTTGTGATGTCAGGGCGTGTGACAAATAATCTAGTTTGAATCAGGCTTCTGATCCTGGTTACTTTTCAGAAACAACTGTCGTCGCTTATTGTCGTGGTGATTTCTTATGTATTGAAACAAATGTTACTGTAGCATATTTTTTCATTGTAATTTTATTAATCTTACTTATTACGAATATGACAGACATCTAGTAGATGTTAGTTTTTATCAACGACGAAAATGTATATGACTTAAATCTGATACTATACTTGAATTAAATTTTTACCATGTTGTGCTTTTTATGTTGATTTGTTAATAGATTAGCAGATGATTTGAAAAGAATTAAATCGCAGTTGTGAATGATCGTGAAAAAAATGTGAATAGAAATCCAGATTATGAGCATTATACTTAGTCTTTACTTTAATAAACTTTGTTCTGTATTAATGATAAAATGTCAGTTAATTATTATTTATAAAAAAATTGGAAACATATTTGTTACATAATATATAGTAGTTACTATTGGAAATTGTTGCTTATTAAAATAATAACTTTTGACCGATATCTTATTCATAAGATAATTGTTGTTTTTTGATTAAATTATCACTTTTATCCATTTTATTAATAAAAAATTGTGAAAAATTGTTTCATACTTCTGTACTAGAAAATTTCATGTTAAGACGTCATATGATTATTTTTTTTACAACAATGAAAGCTTTATGAATTATTTCTAAAACTAAAATATATTTCACAATATTGTATTTTTATAAAATGTAAAATTGTGAGTAGAGTCATGAATGCATATGCACAAAAAATCAAACAAAAAAGTTGAACATACAACGAACGGAAGACATGTTTCATGTGTGCGCACTATGTTCATTAAAAAAGCTTTAGTAAACATGGAGAACATTTTTAAAATTTGTGAGCTCTTTTATGTAATTTAATCATCTTCACTAACTTGGATGAAGCTAATCTTAGTTATTAACAGAAATAAAATAATTTATAATATGTATAATAATTATGCAAAAAAAATAACAATCACTGAATGGAAAATTATCCTTTTAAATAAAAGAAATATTATTTTCAGTTCATAAATAAATATAATCAATGATAAATATTTTACAAGTTATTGTTGAGATTAATTAACTTCAAATTCTAGCTACAAATAGCTAAGAATATCGCAGGTGCTTTGGTGATTTGCGTATAACAAAAAACATTAATTACTCTCACATATGCATTTTTCTGGACGTAACCCTTTGTAATGAACCAAGTTTCATCTTGGTTTCAGCTACTTATTGTCACTTGACTGTTGTGTGTTTATGATTCTCAATTAAATGCTAACAGCGATAGAGATCATAGACCATACTACTTAACATTACTAATAAATCTAAGAAAACAACATTTCTTAAGTCTAATATCCAACTTAGATATATTATCTTTAGCTATGTTATGATAAAAGTCCAATCAAAAAATTTCAAACAAATAGAAATAACCATTTGTTTGAAATTCAATTCAAATTTCGTTAAGAATTCTGGTCCATGAGAAGTACAAACTTTACCATATATATTACGATATTTACAAGTTAAGTTCAAAATTCATATGTTAAACTAAATTCTCTCAACATTAAATGATAAACGATCATCAATACATATGACAATGATTGATAACATGCACGAAAATGAAAAAGATTCCTCATGAATTTTTTATTCTTCAAAATTATGAAGATCATCAAAAGTATCATGTAATATTTAAAAAATGCGTCAAAATGTTTTTAATTTATACTCATTACTTTCAAGTGATTATATAAGATGTTTGACAATTTTTTGTAATGACATAGTAGCTTAAAGGTATCAAACAACAAAGTATAATTGTCATAGTAATTTACAAATGTCATAATCAATAATTGCTATTGTAATATGAGGATTCTAACAATCTTTTCTTCAAAATATTTCCTATTGTTGTTTTGAAGATGTAGAGTATAGATCTTAATATTTAATTAAGACGCATGGTCTTCACTTTGCATATGTTTTGAAAAATAATTTTTATACATCGATTGCATTTGACAATGTCATATTCAATTTTTTCAGATTTCAGATCATTCAATATTATTTTATTACTTTAGGTTGTTACTCGTGTACTACTTATAAATGATTTTTTTTTGCCACAACCAATTATAAGAAATATTAAATGTTATGAATTCAACCGTACTCTAAACATTTTAATTTATTGTGCTTTTACTAAGTTTTGCTTTGCATCAAATCACAAAGATGTTCATTTATCAAGTATAGAGAATGTTTGTGTGAATCCGTTAAATTCTTGACATAAAACCTAAAACCAAGTAAAAATCACATGAAAATCATATGAGACACTCATATTACGTGGTTTACTCTCAAGGGCTACGTCCACGGCTGAAACACGCGAGAAGGTTTACTGAACAGTGCATACACAATACTGCTTCTAATAAAAACCTTGGCCTTGAGGGTTTAATTATACCCAAAGTCAGTGACACACCTAGCTATAAATAGCTATATACTGAGGTTACTCGTTCATCGGAGTTAACCTCAACAATCTTCCCCTTAAATCGTGTTAAGGAAATAGTAACCTCTGTAACCTATATTATTACTAAGCGGGAAGTTCTAGACAGAAACCTAACACAAGGCCACTCTTTACACAAGAGTTAATTAGAACTAGACCGTAACCATAACAGGATAGAGTAATAACATAAAGAGGTAAATAGAGTTATTATGCTAGCAAATTTTACATGTGCTCCCCATGCACAACTTGCGTGGTAGCATAGTGTTGCTAGAAACTTTCCAATGAAATAAGTTTGGTCAAAGCATCAGCTGGATTGAGTTTACAGTAGATCTTGACTAGCTCAATCGTTTTATCAGACACGGCTTGTCTGATAAAATGATACCTGATGTCAATGTGCTTCACTCTGCTATCAATGACATGGTTTGTTGCCAAATGTAAAGCTCTCTGGCTATCACAATGAAGATTAATCACGCCTTGCTTCACACCCATTTCCATGATAAGCTTATCCAACCAAATAGCTTCCTTTACCGCTTCTACTGCTTCCACATATTTAGCTTCCGTTGTTAACTTGTCTACACATTTCTGCAAGGTATACTTCCAACTAATGCTTCTACCGCCAAGTGTAAACACATACCAAGTTGTATATCTTCTTTTATCTAAATCTTGCCCGTAGTAAGCATCAATGTAACCAAACAAGGATTTGGCATTGTCTAATAGACAATCAAACAGTAAGCCATAATCTAAAGTACTCTTCAAATATCTGATAATCCATTTCACTGTTTCCATGTGAATTTTCCCTAGATTTGACATGTACTTGCTCACCTTGCCCATCGCAAAAGCAATGTCCGGCCTAGTGCACATCATCAAATACATGAGAATGCCTACAGCTTGTTCATAGGGAACACATGACATATTTACTTTCTTCATCACATTGGTAGGACATTGAACTGCTTAGAGTTTGAAATGTGCCGCCAAGGAGTCCATACTCCTTTAGAATCGATCATGTTGAACCTATCAATTATACGACGGACATACTTGCCTTGACTCAACCATAGTCTCTTCTGTTCATGATCTCTATGGATCTCCATGCATAATATTCTCTTCGACTCCACAATATCCTTCATCTTAAATGCAGATTTCAACTTATTCTTGCATTCATTAACATCAGATTAATTTTTTGCCAGTATGAGCATATCGTCAACAAAGAGTACTAAAATGATGAGATTGAACGTCTCATCATTTACCTTCTTCATGTAGACACAAGGATCATACACGCTCCGTAAAAATCCTTGTGCCTTCATGAACTGATCAAATTGCGAGTTCCACTGCCTATGAGTTTGCTTCAATCTATAAGATGATTTTAATAATCTACAAACCAACCTCTCTTTGCCTCAAAACCAACAAGTTGTCTCATGTAAATCTCCTACTCTAAATATCTATAGAGAAAAGCTGTAACCACATCCATCTGATCCATAACAAGATCAAATATCGCAGCCAGTGTACATACCAGACAAATTGTAGCATCCTTAGCTACCGGTGAGAATACTTCGTTGTAGTCCACATCTTTCTCTTGGGTGAAACCTCTAGCCACCAACCTAGCTTTGAATATTTTTCACCTCGTCTCATCTTGGATTTTCTTTCAGCTTGTACACCCACTTGGAGTCAATCAGCATTTGATCGGTAGGAGGCTCAACTAGCTCTCAAGTCTTATTGTCAATCAAGGATTCCATCTACCGCTCCATAGCAGCATTCCATTCAAGCTTGTTGACCGCAGCTTCAGCTTTCCTATATGAAGAAGGTCCACCTCCTTCCGGAAACAACGCCATACCATCCCTATCTTAAACATCAAAGTCACAATCTTCTAGAATGGATGAATTTGCACATACACCAAACCTTTTAGTAGCCCTACTAGCACAATGCGATCTCCTAGTAGATTTTTCCGGTTGATCTCTATTGTCTGAAACTATTGCAATAGGCTCATCAATGATAATTTGCTCATGTTCATCATGTTCTTGATGCACCGATGCTTCTTCTTGTGACAGATCATTATTGATATAATGATCAAACTCTTCCACAATGATATCAGTGACTAGAGATTTACCCTTGTCACTATGAGTAGTCTTAGAATTCTCCCCCTACTTCAATAAGCCAAGCTCATTGAAAAAAAAATCTCGACTGACAATCACCTTACGGGCTAGTGGATCCCATAGCCTATAACCTTTCACTCCATTAGCATATCCAAGAAAACGACATTTCTTGGACGGAGAGTTTACCTTAGTTCTTTGATCCTTT